TTTGAATTGAATAACATTTATTCCTATAATTTCTTAGGTGGGTACAATTATTTTGGAACAGAACAAATGTATAGTGGTGTGGATGGACGAGCAATGAAAGCATCTATATTTTTTGGTGTTGTACATTATCAGCGATTGAGGCATATGGTGTCAGATAAGTGGCAGGTAATTAAATCAAAAGACAATGTAGTAATAAAAAAAATAAATAATGTAATTATTCTATATTAGGTACGAAGTACTGGCCCAGTTGATGCTGTTACTAAACAACCTGTTAAAGGACGTAAAAGAGGTGGTGGAGGTCGTGTTGGTGAAATGGAAAGAGATGCACTAATATCACATGGAACACCATTTTTAATGCAAGATCGATTCATGGATTGTTCAGATAAATCAACAGTTAGTATTTATAATTTAATTTAGAATTAAAATATCAATACAGGTCTCTTAGATAATAATATCTTACCTTTAAATTTTATAATAAATCAATTTCCTCTAATTTTAAAAGTTATAGAGTAAAATGGTTAATATGAAATAAATAATAATGTTTGTTGTTGTTTATTTTGTAAAACAGAGACAACACATATGTGTAGCATTCTCTCAATATTAATTTTAACACAAACTTATGAATTATAATTCAATACGTTTTTTAAGCATCATGAGTAAAATTATTTTAAACTTTGAAAACTTAAGTATTGGTCTTTTAAACATCATTTCTTTAAAATATATTACACTAGATGCTTTTTTTATTAATAATTAATTATATTCTATTGTACATTTTTAGGCTCTGTTATGTTTAAAATGCCATACAGTACTAACTTCATTAATTCAGTTTAAAGAAGATAGTTATTCAAGTAAAATTGCAAAATGTAAAACTTGCGACTCTACTCAAGTTCAAGAAATTGGAATACCTAATGTGTTTCGATATTTATGTTCTGAACTTGCAGCAATCAATATTAAATTACAGTTAAATATAGAAGTATAAATACTGTGAAAAATGAAATTAATACCAGTACAATGTTTTTTTTTCTTTATTATAAGTAACTGTACCATAAAACAATTTTTTAATAAATAATGTGGAAAATATCTGATATGCTTGTTTTATGATATTTTAAATGATATTGTTTGTCCATGTTTTCCTTTCATAATCAAACTTATTTTTCTAAAAATGACAAAGTATTTATAATCCTTGATTTAAAAAAAAAATATGGTGTGATTGTATAGATTCTTATTATTAATTAGGTCTTCAATTTTTATAATTTTAAAGAGTTAATATTTGATGTCAATTGCCTAGCGGCCAGCGTGCAGATATGTTTATTATTTAGCTATGTCAATTTATAGACAACGGATACTTTTATTGGTAATAATTAGGTCTAGGATAGTATAGGATTTTGCATTTTTTTTTAGGATTTACAGGATATAACTTTTCAAGCACAAAATGTGATTGGGTCATCTACGAGTTCAAATATATAGTTTTTATTTTGCGTATTTTTGCATTTTTTGTACTTTTTTGAATTTAGGGTCATTTTTTTTGCATTTTTAGGTCATTTTTTCAATTATACGGTCATTTTTTTATACTTTATTGAAATCTGGGTTATATTTAAACTTGAAGGAGTCACTAGTTGTCCATTGCAACAGTAAATAATTTAAAGGTATTTTTCAGTATACAAATATTAAGTATTTAAAATAATTTTAGTTTCACAATATTATTTTAGGTATCTCAAAATATATTAATTTCAGAACAAATTACGCTTGCCATTATACCAGAAGATGAATTTATTTGTTTATATAAATAATGTATATTATATATTAATATTATAAATATTAATATATAATATTAATATTATAATATTATGTATTAATATTGTAAATATTAATTATTATTAATTAATTTATTAATATAATTATATTTTTTTCGATCATTTTTTCTTATTGAGTCATTTTTTTTTGATCATTTATTAGTTTTTATTAGGTCATTTTTTTAGGTTTTTTAGGTCATTAAAATCCTAGCCCTAGTAATAATATACCCTTATGCAAATATTTTAAGACTTAAATACATAGATTTTTTAAAGATTTTATGTCTATACTTAAATGAGAATTTTTATGAATGAATATTATACTGTGTAATGTGTGTACTTGGATTAGACTACCAAAGGAAGAATATGTTGATAAAAGTGGACCAAGATATGTTAGTTGCTACAGCTAGCATGGACGTCATGCTTTTGAAACAGTTGTAACACTAACAATATCATAGGAAATCTTGTAATTTTTTGTTAATTTATCCTAAATGGTAAACTTATGAATAAATACTAGGTATACCACAATATAATTTTTTTCAATAAAAACTATTTTACGTAATTGCCAAAATTTAAATTATTTTGATTAACAAAAATATGGATATTATATAGAATAATTATAAAAATATTTATTTTTATTATTAAGGGGTTGGTGAGAATTGTTATTGGTCCTCTAAGTTTACTTATTTTTGATCTTATGGAGAAAAGATGACTGTTGATTAAATTTCTGATCTAGAACAAATTTTAAATATTACTTCATTGCATAGTTTTTCTTCATTTAAAACATAGTGTTGCAGCTTCTAAAGAATTTATCAAAAAAAAAATAATAGTTTTTCCAAGTTTTTAATAGTTTTAATGGGCTTTTATAAGATAATTCATTAATAAAAAAAACCTCTTGGCTAAGAGGAGTAAGATAAACAAAGTTGTTCGTAGTGTGATGTTTGAGTGGGGTCATACCCAATCCACCCACTTTATTTGACCAGTGTTTGTAATGAGTATATAGACTATATTTTTAAAAGCGTACATAAGTCATAAATATATATATGTAATAATTATAATATGAATATTGCTCCCTTACTGGTGAAAATTCTGCGATTGCCTTGGCTTTAAAAATTAGAGGCAATTTAGACATTTGGTAAATCAAGATGTTTTACGATGCATAATAAATTATTACATTTCTTTAAAATAATGACTTGGCATTTCTTTATCTCTAACTTGTAGTTATAATAGAATCATTTGTCACAATTATAGGTAAATAATAAGTACACACTACACATCATTATCTTCATAATGGTCAGAAAAAATTCTTTTGTTATAATAAAGTATTCTAACCCTTAATCTATTCACTTCATTTTTGTATAAGTAGTAAGTATTATAGTGTAAGAGTACTAACTATTGTCTATTGACTATTAGTGTCCATTGCGTATTATGTCTATAACTTGGCAAAATTAATAACGTTATCTTCTTGATTAATAGATAGGTACTTCATTTAATACCAACATGATTTCACCCCGGTTATATTTTATCCTTAAGTTTACTAAGGAATAACAAAAATATATAATCTTTTACAGTCTTTGTCTTACTACGTTTCTTTCTAATCGATACGAAATTTCATCATAAACTTTATAGTTTATACTCATTACTCTTTTTATTTGGTGTCCAAAAAAATTAAGGTTTTGGTTTAAATTTTAAATATTTTAATTAAAATAGCTGATCAGTGATAAATTGTTTCTCATACCATTCTACCAAATGTAGAATTTTGAAACTTTAACCACGTTGTTTGAAAAAAAGATACGGTATTTAAGTAATGTTTTATGTTATATATTAATTTTGTTCATAATAATCTTATTGTTTAGCCATTGAGAATACAATAATTAAAATATAAACTGTGTACTTTAACGTGCTCTGTCTTTCTAAGATCTTTACATAATTATTTGAGGTGTCAAACTTTCTTAACCACCACTAACTACTATACAACATAACGAACACACTATACAAAATATTTGCTTAAAACTTACATATATGTTCATAATACTAAAATACTAATATAATATGCTATTTTACATTACCATGAAACTTTGTTAATGTAGATTATGTAGAATCTGTTAAAATGGTACTGTTAGTACCGTTCAGTAATGCCCAAAATAATTGTACCCATGTGTATCGAGCAATGGTGTTTTTACTTGGAGTCTCCCTAGAGTGCTGAACAGATTAATATATAGGTAATTTTGATATCCTATGACCTGTATAATGTATTCACAAATTACAATATTACCAAATAATTAATAATTTTTTTCTTTTTAAAACAATGAGAATACTCCTTGTGCAACCTATAAAACTCAATCATGGAGATATCTATTATACTTAACCCAATATTGAAAATAAGGGTGTTTGAACCAGATGATATTAATAATAATTCTGATATTTGATACTTTACATTGTATTAGGTTATTGCTATTTAATTATTATAGTATTGTACTATCTATGATCCATTTTTTATTATTTGATACAAGGTTCAATGAATTATAGAACTAAGCTTAATAATCACAAAACCAAAATAATGTTAAAATGAATGATAATACAAGTTTAATAATATATGAGTACTTTGAAAATTATATTAAGTCATCAAACACTTAAATATCAATAAATGCAAGTACTTTATGTTATACTAATAATATGAAAGTATTAATTTTAGTACTTTATTTTTTCACTTAATAGTCATTAGTATTAAACCATGATAGCTCAACAATTATAAAGCTTTCAATACTTTATACACAAAAATAAATTAAGTTTAACTTGATTTTATGTCAACTTTTACATTGAAATGAAGGTGCCAATAATTTGACCTAGTTCTTAAAATAATGTTGAAATATAGATCATACTTAATGCCAGATTCTATTTTAAATACCATTATCAAATATTACTCAATTTAATTAATATTATTTGTCAATGAATAGTAGTACTTTAAGGCCAATGCCATTTTTTATCTACTAGTATTTTCAATTAGTTGTAAAGTTTTATCAGTATAATTTAAACCTTGACCTTCAACATAAATTTTACAAGGCATAATTCTAAAACATTTAATATTTCACTATAACACTGTACAACAAATAAATTTAAACAAAAAATGGCTTAATTTATAAAAGTGTACGTGTACAATACATAACTAGGTATAATCAATGGGAAAAATTGATAAAAAAAATAACAACGTGGTTTTACTCATAATTTAATCTATTATAGTATTGTCACAAATACTGACATTACGCGGTAGCTTTTTTCAAATAAGCAATGACGTTGTTTCTTTCTTCTACTTTTTTAATACCAGCAAACACCATTTTAGTGCCAGGTATGTATTTCTTAGGATTTTCTAAGTACTCAAATAATGTTGTTTCGTTCCATGTGATACCCATAATCAAAACAAATATAAAAATAAATTAATCAAGATTATAACAAGGTTTATCGAAACCTAACTGTAATTATAAGAATTCGAAAAACAAGTTCAATTGAGTTTCAAATGATTGATTTATTAAAGTGACTTTGAGTTTTCATTTAATTTCTTGATAAAAATTCAATTTTAGATGGGAAGTAGGAGTGGCATTTCATGAAATGAACTGTACCGTTCAACTGGATTTTTAGATGATTATAAATTATTTATTAGTAATACCTAATATAAAATTTAAAAACAATATAATAAAAATGATGAAAGTTGAAAGCTTTTATTATTTAAAAAACCAAATCAAGTTTTTACAAGTAATTATTACATAAAAATAATATATTAAATATAGGTTTAAAAAAAATATATAATTACCCTTTTGTTTATTGGCATCAGTATAAGAATAACCTGCAGCTTGGCCGGTTTTACGACCAAATAAACCATGTAAGTTAGGTCCGACTTTGTGTTTTCCGCCCGCTTCAACAGTGTGGCATTGAGAGCATTTGGTTTGGAATACCTTGAAATTACATTAATATTTAATCTAGTCATACATTTTAATAAGTAATAAAATATTTACTTTTGCTCCTTTTTCTACGTCACCCATTTTTTAAAATTATTTAAAAATTTGATAAATCTGCAAAAATTCAAAAACGTGACTTAGAAATAAACCTCAAAAAAAAAAAAAATAAAAAAATATAATAATAAAAAAATGATGAGATTAAAAACAAATTTTTTTGTAAAAATTTGTAAAAAAATCTCGTTAAACTTGAAATTATTCATAAAATTAGAAAGAGTACTTACAAAATGAGCGGAAATGCAGGAACGCACGACCTGTCAATACAAAACTGTATGTGAAAAGAACGAAAATTATTGTATTATATTGGTTAAGGAATAGGAACTGACCCAGTCGTAGTGTCCTACGATTGCCGATCGCCCTGATTGCAAATAATGTTGTAAGCCAATTGGGCGGGGACGCAGGAAGGTCATGCTTTTTATCATCCATGAATGTAGAATTGATTAGTTTGTAAATTGTTTTTTCCAAGACATAAACCAAGGTTTCTCACCAAATACCACTAAACCAACCAATCTGTTTATCAATTACTTACATGTAAGTGTATATATATACTTAAAATTAATTATCTACCATGAACTATTAGCAGATAACACTGTTAACTTAACAGCAATATTTATTGTTGAATAGTAAATCTACTATTCTTAATTTTTATATTTCAGCTGATTAGAAAATTAGTTAAATTATAAGACATATAAGTACCCTTATTACACTCTATATTTCTCGTATTTGTAATACTAACTTGTTCAATATTTCATAATTAATTCATTACATATTATTGAGAAATTAAAATACTACTAACATTTTATAAAAATGATTGGCTTAATAAAAATTGTTAATCCAATAACACGAAGTACTTATTCAAAAATTGTAAGTATTTCTTCTAAATTTAAATTGGGAAATTAGTTAGGTCATTGTTAATTACCATGAATTCATGATTGAAAACTAATGTAAAAAAAGTTTGCTTGGCTCAGACTCATATTAAATTTTTATAAATGAATAAATAGCTTAATTTTAATATTTTAACGATACATTCTTAAATATTTATATTTGTAATAGTCTATTCAGCGATTCTCTTTAGAATCATTAAATTAAATTCTAATATTATCTCATCACATTTGTGAATAGTTTTTTAATTTCTTAAACCTAAATTATCTTAATATTTAAAATAATTTATTAAAAGCTAAAGTGTTATAGAAATATTTGTTGTCTTATTGATTTCTTATAATTACATGATTCTCATAAACAAAAGATACATTTTTAATTAATACTATTAATAAAATACGCATATTTTATAAAAAAAAAGCAAGATGAATTAATATGAATTGAAGAATTTCTAACAATTTTGAACCTTATGATTTAATGAACAAAATTAATTCTAAAAGGTTCTTCTAAAAGTTCTATCTTTATTCATGTACTGATATTTATAATTCTTTATTATATAATTAAAAAGTTATGTCTAATTTAATTATTTTATAATATATACCTTATATCCTTATATCTATAATTTAATTCAAATGGTTTTTAAATTTTTAAAAAGAAATAATTTTTGTATATTTCTTATACATTTCCATTAAATTGCTGTCTTAAAACTAAATAGCTTTTATTACTTATTATTTTCTACTCTAAAGTTTAGTTGTTAATTTATTACTATTATAGTAGTATTGCATAATATGTTGCAATAATTCAGTAAATATTAATTTTTCGAACTAATAAAATAATTAAATGTATTAAGGAAATACAAATCATTTATTTAATTTTTTGAAATAATACTTATCTTTCAATTATATGTTTATACATATATTACATGTGTATTAACATTATTTATTGTTGAAAATTTATAAATATCTATATAAGAAGAAATTAATATATCATTAAAAATTGTTTTTATCAATGATATAACATTATATTTATACTTAAATAGCAAAAGTTAACCAAATTTATGTGTATATTAATTTTTTAGAATAATTGGAGCCGTCCATTAAATTGCACAAGAAACTTACATCAATCCCAATACTATTCATCAAAACAGAATACAGCAGTAAGCATATTTTTCCAAAACAATCTTCTAATTTGATAATTTTAATTAATAAAAACATTAAAAAAAGAAAATTATTTGAAAATTTGTTCAAAATTGAACAAAATAAACTACTTAAATTTATTTTTATTTGAAATTATTACAACAAACATAGTTTATTTATATTTAATATTAAATAATTATAACAAACTTACTTCTTCATACATTATTTAAATAATTTATGTGTATAGTTATTGCTAAATATTATTTTCCTTTATCAATAATTGATTATAATATAATAATTATAAAAATATAATTTTTTTTAATTAATTGAAAATAATTTCTAGGGAACTAATGCATACTCAGTAATTGATCATGAATATGATGCCGTCGTGGTTGGTGCTGGAGGAGCTGGTCTCCGTGCTGCTTTTGGCTTAGTACAAGAAGGATTTAAAACAGCAGTTATTACTAAACTTTTTCCTACAAGATCTCATACAGTAGCTGCTCAAGGGGGAATTAATGCTGCTTTAGGAAATATGGAAGAAGATGATTGGCGATGGCATATGTATGTATATCATATTTTTTTATATAAAATATTTGAAGTAATGTAAATTATTTATTATTTATTACAGAGATTCTTAAAATTTATAAACAAACCCCTGATAAAAATTTTTTAGAAATTGCAGACCTTGCTTAGTAATTTCTTTTGAATACCTGTTTTTTTTACTAAGTATTTTGTGTCATGTATTCATGTCAGAAACACCAATAGAGGCAATAAAGCCCCCCTGAACCACAGACATTATTATTGTGGACCCCCAAGGGACCTTAAACCATAGTTTAAGAATCACTAATTTATTTTATTTAAGAATAAAATATAACCATAATTTATTTTATTGTTGTTTAAATTAATTTTAGCCTTATTCTTGTTTGAAAAAATTTGTTAAATTTGTATGCTAACATTTTTTATAGAATATATTGTTTTGGAATGAAATATAAAAATCAAAAGTGGATAGTTGTTGCACTGACAAATATAAAGGTGTAAAAACAGATAGTTTTTAATTAATAGCATATATTAATGAGAAAAAGTATATGAAAATGCAATATATGGAATACATGAATGAATATTTTAATCACTAAGCGATTAATAACTAAGATATTTATACATAATATGATCCTAAATAATTTTATAATTGAAATATTATATTTATAAAATTAATTTTATTTATATTTCAGGTTTGATACTGTTAAAGGTTCAGATTGGTTAGGAGATCAGGATGCTATACATTATTTAACTAGAGAGGCGCCTGCAGCTGTCATTGAGTTAGAAAATTATGGTAAAGCTATTTGAAGTTTGATATTAAATAAAATAATTAATTATTTTTTAAATTTAAAAGAAAAATAATGATACATTATTAAATTACTGTTAGTTATTATTTATAGAATTTTTTTTTTTATTACTAAATAATTAACTATTGTCTAGTTTTTTTTTAAAATTATAACTATAATAATTTACAAAATTTAAAAATTGTATAGGTATGCCTTTTAGTCGTACTGATGAAGGAAAAATATATCAACGTGCATTTGGTGGCCAGAGCTTACAATTTGGAAAAGGTGGTCAAGCTCATCGTACTTGTTGTGTAGCTGACAGAACGGGTCATTCCCTCTTACATACTTTATATGGATATTCATTAAAATTTAATTGCAATTACTTCGTAGAATATTTTGCTTTGGATTTAATTATGGATAAAGGACAATGCGTTGGAGTTATTGCCTTGTGTTTGGAAGATGGTTCTATTCATCGCTTTAGAGCTAAGAATACAGTTAGTATTTGTTTTTATTCTCTTAATGATATTTTATACTTTATTCATATTAGAAATGACCAGTTTTTGTCAGTGATGCATAAATTACACACATGACTGCTTCTCTTACCTAATCAATTATTGATAATATAAACATAAAACAATACCACTCCTATATGGAGAAGTTGCCCACCTTAGTCTCTTTCAAATAGAAATGGAGTATACTTTTCTAATTTAATTATACATTTTATTTTTAATAGGTTTTAGCTACTGGTGGTTATGCTAGAGCCTACTTTTCATGTACAGCTGCCCATACTTGTACAGGTGATGGTCAAGCTTTAGCATCAAGAGCTGGCATTCCAATGCAAGATATGGAATTTGTACAATTCCACCCTACTGGTATCTATGGTGCTGGCTGTTTAATGACAGAAGGTTGTCGTGGTGAAGGAGGATATTTAATAAATGGTTTAGGTGAAAGATTTATGGAAAAATATGCACCTAATGCGAAAGAACTTGCATCCAGAGATGTTGTATCTAGGTCAATGACTATTGAAATCATGGAAGGAAGGTAGATATTTTCATTTTTAATATATTATATGTAGAACAAAAAATTGAATAGGTAAAAATACATCTAAATAATGAAATAAAAACAAGGAACACCTTCAGATATTTATAAAATATAATTTAAAAGTATGTGTTCATAGTGTTCTATGCTTAAAAATAACAATCAAAAGTAGTTTATAGTATTATTAGTATTTTTTACTTGCATAAAATAAGTGATTGTGACAACATCTTAAATAATAAAAGCCAAATGTCTAAAGAAATTATCTTAAACAAAAAAAAAAAAAATTAGCTAGTGATCAATAGTTATTAATTGTGATAGCTAGATTCCTAAAAAAACTATAAATAAGAAAAATAAACTTGAATGATAATATTTGAAGAAAATATGCATTTTAAAATTTTAAATATCCAAAAACTACTAAGAGACTAATGTAAAAAAAAATTGACAAAATTTAATCTCTTCTAAAAAAAATAAAATTAATATAATAATACAATTAATTCAAAATCCTAGAATTCAGAAATATGTATTGTATTATTTGATCATTTGTTGAGAGGAAACCTAGAATAATAATTTAATTTTCAATATTATTTAAATTGAGAATAAAAGGCTAAATCTAACTGTTAACTAATCAATAAAATATTGTTTTAGAGGATGTGGTCCTGAAAAAGATCATGTTTATCTTCAACTGTATCATTTACCAGCTGAACAACTTCATGCTAGATTACCAGGTATTTCAGAAACCGCCATGATATTTGCTGGAGTTGATGTTACTAAAGAGCCTATACCTGTATTGCCAACAGTCCATTATAACATGGGTGGAATACCAACAAACTACAGAGGACAGGTTAATAAATAAACCCTAAAAAATTTAAAATAGTATTGTTAGCATTAATGTTAGGGTAAATTGATCTGTTTTTAAACTTCAAAGTTAACTTATTATTTAGGGCCTTAGTTGGTTATTACTTTT